GATGATATTTTAAATGTAAAATACTTTTAGCACTTTAATTTTTTCAGTAATCTTTGATTATGATGTCAAAAGTGCAACAGAGAACATTAAATGAGACTTATCAAACTCTTGTTGAGGAATCTGAAACCAAGAAAACATGTTGGGTATCTAACTTGAGTTAATGTAGCGTCTGAAACCGGCCCTTAGTTTGAAAAAGGTTTTAATTTTGGCCCCCTTTTGTAAGTGGGTTTGACACCGCTTCTTTAAAGGATCACAGCTGCTTCTTTTCAGTGGAAATTACTGTGAAGTTTTTGTGCCTGAACATTAGCACACCTGCATCACATACAGTTTTACGTTTCTTAAAAGTTAAGTTTCAAGAAAAAAAAATATCTGCTGGATATTTATCAATGTACTTTAAGAAAAAAAAAAAAAAAACATTGATTATAATGTTCCTGCAGACCTTCCAGAGGAATCCTGCAGATTCTCATTTGAAGTCTGAAAAGACAACATTTATTTACCAGGAAAACAGGTCATTTATGTTTACTGCACTGTTGATGACTGAAAAGACAGGATGAGGTGGGGTTACAGCTCTGTATTTTTAACAAATAATTGTTAAATTTAGCAGCTCAGGACTATTTTTCTTTAACAATCACTGACTTTGTCATTAAAACGTCCTAGAAAAGACAAGTGATTAAAGTCCAAAGTCAAAGAAATTGACCTCTCTATTCTAAATAACCACCTAATCTGTATTGAATTTGAGTTGTGCAGCTATTCCAGACCTCTGCCTGCTGCCCTTTGAACTGCAGCCTGTTTCTTATTCTCCCTCTGGCCGTTGCAGGACTGCTTTCATTACAGCCTCTCCCACATATGCTCTACTGCCTGTGCATTTAAAGGCCATCTCCTGACGCCCCTCTGCTACATTTCATTCAGCCTAACTTCCTTTCCATTTTCTTCTTAGACATCGCCTCTTCCCTCCAATATCCTGTACGCCAGGACCTGTATCTCGAGTATGCAGAGATGAAAGTTGAGGCTCTGCGGGTGTATTTTGTCACTGAAGTGCCACATGCTACATCCCGAATACCAATTACTCGTCTATGATGCTTGTTGCTGGACTCCAGTAGCTCCTCTTTGACAGCTTGCTGTTGCTCATCTTAAGTTCAGCGAGGCCCTCGGAGGACCGAAGTTTTCCTCAGAGGTTACGCCTATCTCGCAGTACGACAGTCAGCTTCTTCTTTTATGCAAACAGCCTCTAATCTTTACAGGAGCCTCCTCTTCACTTAGCGCCGTACTGAAACACAAAGTGACAAGTGCTCTGGGAGTTCTGTTACAATGCACTGCCTATGATTGCTGGGCAACTTAAGGATTTCTTGTATAAATCTCCTCGCCTGCTCTTCTTCATGCAGCCTTGCACTAATGCAGGTCTGCTTTGCACAAAGAGCTACTTATTAAACATTGTGTTGGACCATCCTGAAGCAATAGTGTGTGCTACAATAGCTGAGACGTGAAATTGATTTTCATGCTTAGCAGAATGTATTGGTGGCTGCACCCAAGCTGTTGTCCTCCCCACCCCCATCGCCACCACACCTGCAGATCACTAAGATGCATGATTGTGGCCGTTGAGGCTTTGGGTGATGCATAATCTTTTGAGGAGCAGAAAAACACGTTGCAGTCTCATTTCTCAGGGCAATTTTCATTCTTTCATTGTTAACGCCGTTAAATGAGTTGAACGAAGGGGACCGAGGTGTGGTTGTCTTTGATGGTCCCACCTCAAGTCTTTACACGTAATTAAACAACCACATCAGTGCATTTCATCATCTGAGCCAATTTTGTACCATTTCCCTTTCAAAAAGTAACACAGCCAACTCTTCGGATGGAATCAAACCCCGATAAATGCTCATCTTAATATCGCTCATCATCAAAAACACAAATACAGCATGATAAGATTAATGACAAGCCTCAAAAGTGATGAAAAGAACCACAGTCGAGAGGCTCACATCAGCTGCAGTGCTGGAGAGGAGCAACACCACGCTTGAAGCTATCGCGAGCTGTCTCAAGGTAAAACAACAAGACAGGCTGAGGACTGAGGAGAGGAAAGTTTCCAAACAAGCAGGGTAGTTTGGGGTAGATGAGCCAAGAGTCGGTAGGAAGGCACTGCCAAATGCCTTGAGTGATGCAGGCCTCCGCTGTGGCACGTCAGCAAGCTCCCAGGCCAGCTGTCCTAGTTGATGCTGAGCATCAGAATATGGGCTTTCTGGAGGATCCACTGTAACAGCCAAGGCTTCAAAATTCCTCTGCAGTCACTACACTTTCCCATTCCCAAATGAAGACGCATACCGTGACAGGTAATAAACTACACCTCCAAAGAGTCAGTCTCACAGGAGTTGGGAACAAAAAAAGCTTTGAAGGGTTTCTGAAAATCACACGAGACATCGAGATAATTCAACCAAAAACACTTTAATGAAAAATGAACTCAAGCAGCTACAAGCAACATCAATGTCGTTTCTGCTTCTTTTTTATTTATTCTTTTTTTTTTTAACAAAACCTATTATTGCAGGTTTTGTTCTAGTTGTCAGGGAGCTTTAGAAAGTAAACCAGGTGAAATAATCAAAAATTAAAAAGGCCAACAGTGTCAGACATGATGACATATGTCTGGTTTTGAAACACTGGATTTGATTTAAAAGTTTCCAGCTGGCTGATGCCGTATGGGTCTAATTAAGTCTGAATGTATTTTCTGAAAAACAGATCTGAAATAGAACTTGAACTCCTATTAATCAGCGAGGTTTCTTCCTTGTCAACCCTCTACAGCTTTAATTAAAAGTCCCCTGGAATAGCCGTTCACACATGTCACATCCTATTTGAGGATTTAGGGATGTAACTAGGACACTCACTATAAAGAATACCACTTCTTATATTGTTTTACTACACGGCAGACCTTAAGAGGCTCCACAGGCAGGGTAGAAATCCTAATCTGCTGTTACCCATTGGATCTGACAAACAAATCAGACTGTATACGCTACAGTCTTTACAAATGGAACAATTCACTCTTTTATAACCAGTTATCAAGAGTTCACAGACTTTGAGCAAAAAAATAAACAAATAAATACATATCAAGCTCTATAGATGCAATCTTCTTGTCCTTTATGTAAAAAAAGATGGATTTGATTTTGCATTTTGTGGTTGTGAGCAATTCTACCCAGGGGTAACTCAAATGGAAAGTCTCCCTGCCAACAGGCTGCAGCTGTGAAACATATGAATTGTTTCTCTCCCGCTGATGAGTAATGAGTGAGCGGAAGATAAAAGACTGTCATATTGCCTTTTCGTCATCACAGGGAGAACACTGTTTTGTTAATTCGTTTTCAGCCTTGGACGGCTTTCGAGGCCACGACACGAGCTGCAAGATCCATAGATCCCACAGCAAAAGCGTTATTGCTGCTCTGTTTAATGCCTGCTTTGCTTTCCTCTCTGCAGCTAAAATCCTTTCGCCTCAGATTGTAGTTCATTTATAACTTAATTGCTGAGCTAGTCCCTGAAGCCAGTGGACATATTGCTTCTTCCTTCTGAAATGTCTCTCAGACTGCTCTGCTTGACCTACGGGGCTCTTCTTCATCAGGTCCAATTTGCCATCTACAACTACCTCACTAATTATAACTCTCGAACTGACTCATCTGAGTTTGAGTCTTGTGTGGGGGCTTTGATTAGCCTTTTGCTTTTATCACCTCTGAGTCTTCCGTGTTGTTATCAGGCTTTCTGCTGACAGCCCCATTGCCTCAAGGTTGCAGACTGCAGTGCGGCTGCATGGATTTGACATTCAGTCTTAGGAGTTCAACAATGTACTCCCTGTCAACACGCCTTATTTAGAGCAGTTTTGTACAAGTCAAGAGTCCTGTACTGAAATTATAAACTGAAAACGCTGCAAGGAGGAGTTTAACAAGGACCTTATGTGAAATATGCTGGTGAGGATTTTCAATCATCCACGTCCACAGCACCAGTTAAGGGCCTGCCCAATGCCAGTATCCACCTCCACTCAGCCCAGTTTATGGGACCACCTTCATGCGCGTAGCCAGGGGGGGTTCGGGGGGTTCGAACGAACCGCCCACTTTGCCAATGAAGTCCCACCTACAACTCCCGCGAGATATAGAACTGCGAGGTGAAGTAATTTCATTCATAAAAAACAATGTCTAACAAAGCAAAGTAAAAAGATGAGTTATTTTTGCAATTGAAGTAATGTTATTATTTGCGGGCTTAGTTTGCATTTATGTTGTTAGAGTTAAGGAGTGGTACTGTGCCTTTAAGAGGATGACGTCTTTCATTCTTCTTCGGTGTTTTTTTTTTTTTTTTGTGTATGTTCGGGCGGGACTCGGGAGTACCGAAGTGTTCGTTCGTGTCTGGGATGAGTTCTGAATAGAAGACTGGACACACACGCTATTCCCCTCTCAGTGTGTTGCTCTTTCTCCACTCACAACCGCCTATTTGGTAACACAGATTTACCTCACACAGCAGTGTTTTAACTAGCTAGCTAATTAGCTTGTTTACACATTTGAAGTTATGTGTACCACCGCCAATGAACCAATCAGAGTAGTCCTACAGGTCCACTTTTTCTTCAAACGAACCGCCCCTCATAAAATCCTGGCTACGCCTATGACCTTGTTTGTGGTCCAAAGCAGACTGCTCCGAGGGAGGGTTTTGACATAAGCAGACAGCAGCCATTGATTAGACAGTGGAGCTATGTCACTGGATTATTAACCTTTATTTAACCAGGCAAATCCCATTGAGACCACAGATCTCTTTTGAAAGGGAGGCCTGGGCCTGAAGGCTGAACCGCCCAGCAAAATCGGAAACTACATCTGAACCCCCACTTCCTCATTGTGTTGATGGACAGAGTCACGAGAAATGAACACATTTACAGAGAGATATCAGAGATGATGGTGCAGCATGGCTACACCTTACAAGCAGTGCTGAGATAAGCTCAAAAAAATTGAAGTTGGATTACAGGGTGATTAGCTTGAACACAGTAAGACCAGTTATGATCCTGCCCACTTTGCATTGACGATCTCGCCCACAGACTGCGGAAACAAGTCATAGTGGCAAATCACCTACACTTGACAAGAACCAAGAAGAGGAGAACTGAGTGGAGTCACTCTAATCAATGTCAAAGTGCCCTTATGCTGCTGTGATCGTAACTGGTCTTGTGTTCAAGCCACTCTGCCCATTGTGGTCCTTAACCGCCCTATAATCAGACTTGGATTTTGTTAGCTTATCTCAGGCATGCTTATAAGTCCAGGTGTAGCCATGCTGCACCATCATCTCTGATATCTCTCTGTAAATGTGCTCATTTGTTGCAGCGGTGTCCATCATCAGGATTAGGAAGTGGAGGTTCAGATGTAGTTTGCAGTTTTGCTGGGTGGGTCATCCAGTGACATTCCTCCACTGGACAATCAATGTCTGCTGTCTGCTTACGTAAAAATCGACCACTCGGAGCAGCCCGCTTGGAACCACAAACAAGGTGGTCCATAATTCGAGCTGAGGGTAGATACCAGCAGTGGAGAGACCCTTCACTGGTGCCATGTTGTGTGGAGCTGAGGAAGGTTGAGGCAGTTTTAAACAGAGGAGAGCTCAGATTTCAACTTTCAAAAACTTACATTGCAGCCTTAGGCCTGATTCCCAGTCAACTCCACTCCAATTCACACCTTCATGCAGGTAACTAAACCATCTCTCTGTGCGCCAAGCAGACAAAGAGCCTAATGATCCTCCATTGGGCGGGGCGAGTAGTTACGGTCTAATCTGCATAAAGCTTGAAACGCCACACACTCCAGACATTTTAGAATAGATAAAGCCTCCCGGTTGGGAAGCGTAACATCTCAAGCTTCAGAATAGAAGTCCCGTTGTTTTTTATATTTAACTTTTTTGGGGTTTCACCTGAAAGCAAAAGGAGCAATTGGTTGATTATTGCAACTTACCCTAAAAAACTCTTTTGTAGAGCCTGAGTCCAGAGTGCCATAGGCTATCTCTGTCTGCTTGGCCAGATCTTCAGCACTTTCTATGGGCGAAACCATTCTTTCCACAGTTAAGAAGGCAGCCAGGTTGGCGGTGTATGAGGAGATGATGATGAGGGTAAAGAACCACCACACACCACCAACAATACGACCTGACAGGGACCTGAGAGAGAGAACGAGGGTGACAACAAAGAAAAATAGAGTGTAATTATAGTGACATGTGGTGCCAATCAAACTGCTAATCTACCATTTGAGTTCAGTGCATATAAATTAGGCATCAGAAGTTCCTGGCAAATTGTTAAAACAAGCTAGAACTGTGTCAGTAATCTAAAACACTGCAGCTCTAAAAAAAAAAAAGAACAAATTGTGTGTTTTTGTTGAAGGAAACGGTCTTAGTTGAGGATTGTTTCAAAGCTGAACTTTATCTAAGGAATTGTTATATTGCTGATCAGTATATGTAGGCTACAAATACAGCAAAATGGAAAATGAAAATAAAAAATTATAGAAACAAAAGTAAACAAGATCATTTTTGAGTTTGTACAAAAAAAACAGGGACTGAACAAAAAATATTTGCAGAGATTTTAGATAAACAGTCTGACAACAGTAAAATAAATCACATTTCCACCCCCTGAAATGTTGCTGCATTTAGAGCTAAATAAGGGGAAAAGTTTAGACATGGTTAAAGAGGAAAATTGAATTGATCTGGATTAAAACAATATATCCAAACTTTATCATTTTTTGCAACATCCATGTGTACAATATCAATATGTCAGTACTGTAAAGGCCTTCATTAGAATGGTGTACTTTGCACCCAATGCAATTATTATTATTATTATTTATTTCATTCTACCTCTATTTTACTGGATTCTACTTGAGTTGACCCACCTGGGAGAGATGTCACAGCCCTGCTGCATGAAGGCGCCCAGTGAGAACCAGAGAGAGTTGAAGATGCCAAAGTCATTGGGAGGATCAGGGGGATTCTGGGGGTCTTTGGTCTCATCCTGTTCCTCGAGGTTCCACTCATAAGGACTGAACCGACTGACCAGGAACAGGACCACGCTCACCCCAATATAGGCAAACACTATACACATCCAGATTTCATAGGCCAGCGGGTCCAGGAAGGAGAAAACACCAGGCTTGGACTTTTGAGGCTTCTTTATCATAATGGAGATGCCCAAGCTCATAAAAGGTTTGGAAAAGTCTATCACCTCCTCTCGAACCAGTGTAATGGTGAGAGGTGCAACGGCTATATCTGCTCTCTGGAAACAGGGGGACATGCACAGCAAGCGTTAGTCATGACCTGCATTTAGAAAATGGGTCATTGCATGTGTGAATGACTGCAGCTGCTTTTATCACAGTTTACAAAAAAAAAGTAAAGTAAAATGAGGAATAAGCCACAACCTGCAATGTTCGAAGGAAAGCTGACAAAAAAAAAAAAGATGACTCATGCAGGAAATGCACAGTTGTTATAATTTAAGTAATAATTCCTAGAACAGTAAAATAAATTTCACACTGAAAAGTTGCTGCATTTAGAGGTGAAAAAGAGAAAAAGCTCAAAAATTGCTGTAATATGTTAATAGAGGCAATCTGTAAACATTTAGGGATGCACAATATATCAGAAAATTATATAAGAATATCTATATATGCAACATCGGTATCAAAAATACCTTAAAGATTGAAATAAATCATCTTCCTCATTGAGTTTACAAGATAGTGGGTGAATCGTTAAAACACACAGCGTGTTGGGAACATCATAAGAGAAGACAAAAAAGTGTCTTTAATACAACTAAATGCATCATCCCAATATTCCAAAACAGTATCACAATCATGTTTTTGTAATCTTGTGCAGCCCTAAAAACTGTCCATCAAAACAGGTGGGATTTTGAGTCACGTTTGACAAAATGCCACACGGAGGGAAATCAATTTTCACCAAAAATACAAACAAAAACCAACGTTTTCAGTGCATGTGTTGAATTGAACGTGTTAGTTCTAATTTGCAGGCTGTAAAGACGTTGCTGTATGTAGAAATCTGTGAGCCCCGTCTGTGTGCACTTTATCACACGCCTTTCAGTGCGCACGGTTTCCAAAAACACAGCTCATTTTGGCATTTTTTATTTTTTTTCCCAAGCTGTTTCTCTTTATCTCCCTCCTTAGCTCTGCTACTTCAATCACAATTTGCTATCAAAACACATCCGTGGAGGTGGTGCTGCCTTTTTACAAATCACAATGGGTTTTCTCTGTAAAAGCAGAAGAAAATAATTAATCACGTTAGACAATGTTGCTGCAGACTGTGTGAATGTGATTAATTAAATAATGCTCCTCTTCAAAGGCGCAACTAAGCAAAAGACAATGCCCCGTATTGTTGTGTTGGGCCATGTTGTCTCTTCATGTCGAAACAGAGAAAACATTGAACTGAAGAAGCACAAAGGCAGCAAATGTAGTTTTTTTTTTTTTTTTTTTAATTTGCGAGGTCAAAGAAGGAGCAACACAAATAGAGCCGATAAACACGACTGTTTTCTTTTCCCTGTCAACACAACAACACTGTGAAGGGCTATAACCATTAACAATCAATGGTGAGGCAAACAAAACAATAAAGAGCAGCCTCGGGCTTAACCTTTAAAAAGACATCTAAAATCAAATTAATTTATTGGTCAAAATGTCAAAACGTACAAAACTGTTAGTGCTGGTCGACCTGCTGTAAAATCACATTCCTGGAAAGACTTGAAAGTGATGTGATTGAAATGGTTTTTTTTTACTACTTTCATACATGGAGTGGACTTTTCCCCATTTGACAGACAATTTGATGGTGATGGCATATCAAACCAAGCAATCTCTCAGGCTGATAGTTAGGGTATTGAACAAGTGAAGAAATCTGAGCCTCATGCATTTTGTATTTGGTCCCTGTTCAACTATTGAGGCCTGGCTGAGAAGGGTATGGGGGTAGGGGGAAGTCAGCCTGTGGGGTTGGGAGAAAAAAGTAAGGGGTGGAATTGAATTTTGGTAATACTTAAGGTATTGCGGAGGCCTGAGAGCTCTGTCAGATGTAGAAGACGGCATGACCCCTGTCGCTAATGTGAGAGGTTCAGCCCTCGTAGAGTGCAGCACATATGGATCTTATTGTTTCAAATCGCAAATCATCATTTAGCTGTTGACTCTGAAGCAGATTACTCAGCTGTGAATGTGGCATATTCATCAAACGCGTGAAACATTGAACATAATTACACAGTCACTTCAAAGACATACAATCTTTCATTCATCAAAGTGATTACAGTGTGTTAGCCATATGGAGCCATTGTTTCCATGTACCTACCTCTGTTTCATCTGTAAAGGGAGAGGGAGAGAGAGTTTTCTAGGCTAAGCAAGAAGGATTAATTGCAGTGAACAGCACTGAGAAATGATTTCATTTTCTCTGTCTCAAAATGATCACCAACTCCTCGGTGCTTGAGGCTGCGTTCGACAAATCCACTCGCGGCCGAGCGTCGGACTTTGAACCGGGCATAGAGCTGATGAGCTCACAATGGGTTGGTGATCAGCTTAAGGCAGAAAAATGAGATCTCCTCTCATGTTGAAGTTCCTTGCAAACTGTCATGTAATCAGCAATATCGAGACTCCCAGTACTCACCCCATAGACCAGTTCACCCACCATCCCGTTCCACGTCTTGGTCTCAGGGTCTCGGGCTCCGTACTTGCCATCCATTACTATTGACAGTTTGTACTTAATTCCAACATGTTTGGCAATTTCAGATGCTAAATCGACGCAGTAGCCTTCATATCTGTCATTCCCGTCCAGATGCATATAATTTTTCTTGAGCATCACATACGGAGCTTCCTGTTGATTCAAACACACGCTGGTTTATTCACTCCATTGCTCTCACACACAAACAGTTGTACAGACATATGCAAGCATGCATGTGTTCATGCACACACACCCCATACATTGCAAAGGCACAAGGCTCTCTATGGAACATTACATTCACTTATATCCCCAAGTCTTCTTTTCCTTTAACTTCTACAAGACGTGCCTAATCTTTAATCTCACTGTAACCTAGAACTACCCTTAGAAAACTTTCAGTTTAAATTAGGTTATTAAATACAAAGACTATTTTAAAGGCAGTGGTGTCTCTAAGATCTGCACAAGGTGTCCTCAAGTGTCAGAAAGTGTGAGACGCCGAGTTATCTTAGGCAGCGTCAAAGATTGTTTGCCTTATGAGTAAGTGACAAAGTCAGCATACAAAGTTAGAAGGGATGAAGGTGATGTGTAGTACTGTGGAAAAGTTCTGAGTTGTCCCTATTTTTATGTTTTGGTTCAAAGAAGCCAGACTTTGTTGCAACCTTTCAAAGTGATCTTGATCAATGTTCCTTCTGACTTTCTGATGGACTTTCAACATATATATTTTTTATTTTTCCAGCTTTTTAAACTTATTTAATGTCCCTGCACGTTTTTTTTTTTTGTTGTGGTTTAAGAAATTACTTTTTTATTAGTTCAGCAACTTAATTCTACCCTCAAAGGATGAACTAGTGTTGTATTGACAGACAACTGGCAACTTGGCAAAGAGCCTATTTTAATTTTTTAGGTGTTTAATTTTAGCAGCCGATCAAAAAGATACAATAGGTGTCCAATTTCTTTAGTTAAATCTGTAAAAAGCTACCAAAGATATTCCAGTCTGGCAGACAGCAAATGTTACTTTAAGACCAACTAATGTGATTTCCAAGTAGCTATGCTAACTTTTGCACTAGTACTCTAAAGAATAAAAAAAAAGACACTTGGATTTATTTAGATACTCAAAAAATATTTATGATTTTTGGTTACAACAATTTAACATTGCTTTGTCAACCTAATTTTTTTCTTCAATGGGACACTCGGCTATGTGGTAGAGCATGAATCCCATGCATGCAAGCTAAATTCCCCACTAGCTGACTCAGATTTGAGTACAATATATTGATATACGATATATACGATATATACAATATATACGATATATACGGTATATATGATACAATTGATAAACAATATATATTATTATTGCGTCTTGTTTGTTGTTCAAATCTAATACACTTGGTTAAGTCACAACAATTCTACAAACACTGAACCAAAAGCCTTTTTTTCCACTTTAGAATTCAAAGTCTTGATATACAAGAAATGACTTTTTGTCCCCATAAAGTGGTCCCTATAATGTCACCATAGATGAGGAATGCATGTCAACGTACTTGCACACAAACACACACAGTCAATTCATTATGAGCTGCTATACACACATCCATGCAGTCATGCATAAACAGATGACGCCCTGCGAATGCACAAATATGTAGTGATAGCAGCTTGACCGTATGGTCACACTGCTCTCATCAAAGATGTGACAGCCAGCAGACACCGAGCCTTCATGTAACGAGCCCATTTTAAGGCAGAGGGTGCAACTCTGTGGCATAATCAGTGAGGTTTAACAAGACAGGAAAATACAGAAAAAAAAGCAATTTCTATAAGGCCACAATATGTCTATTTTAGAGCTGGGTGTTGCTGTTAGGCAAGGTGTGGGTCGGCTCAGAAGTGGAGGGGGTGGGGGTTACGAATGGGGATGAGTTTTGCAAGTAAATGCCAGACAGGAGAGGGATCAGAGAGTGCCCTTGGTATCTCAACATATTCAAGTACACTGCATCACCAATGTGCAGTTAAAGGCTTTGGCATTCCCATAAAATAAATGGAAACATAAAAAGATCTATTACAAATTTAGCTAAATTAAAAAAAAGAGGTGTTTTTTGCTATCCGTAACAATGCAAAAATATTCCATAACATGAATGATTGCAGCACTGGAGCAGAAGCGTGCAGTTTTATTATTTTATTTATCTATCTTGTTTTTTTCCAAGTTCTCCGGAGCAGCTCGTCCTCTTCCTGAGCTCCTCGTTATCAAACAGCGAGGCTGCTCAGGAGAGCAAGCATCGTCATAACAGCCACATACAATTAGAGTGCAAGGAGGAGAGCAATGGCTTGTTTGTTCTGTGCTGAATATATCCCCCTCACCTTGGATCCAGTGAGCATTTCCTTCCAGCGAGCGTGTTTACTCGCAGGCTGTTAAACTCTTCCAAATGCTCGCTGAGCGACGCCGGTTTGTATCACAAGTGAAATCTACATTTTAGAAATACTTATTGCTTTACTTTTATCTTTTCAAAATGTGTGTTTACAGGGGATGTGGTACTGCATTCGGATATTATTGCGCATTATACAGGCAGTAACCACATTTTCAATGGAAGCCTGAAACATTTAGTTGAGTAAATACGGTTAAAATAAATTTAAAATATGATGCCCCCCCCCCCCCCCGATGTAATCTGGGAAAATGGCTGAGAAAGATCTTCCCTTCTAAAGCTTTGGAGGGTGCTTAAATACACTTCAACACAGAACACATGGAGGAGCAATACAAAATAGATTGGAGAAGTGATAAAAGGGGGGTAAAGCATAACCAAATTTTATCCCTCTCCAACAGAATTTATTTTGCTTTGCCCAGCTTGTGGTACCACTGCAGCAACATTCTCCGGCCGCTCTGCAGCCAGTCTGTCCCAAGTGTCGTCGGACATTTACTTGATGAGGACAGACACGTCTACTTACGCATGTGTTTGTATGCTTTTTGTAACGGATGGACTCAACCATGATCACTTACACCATTTATTGTGATGTCACTGCTACAACAGGCCACTAAAATATGGAAAATCAAAATGCTTTGACACCCACACGGATACAGTTGAAACACTCTCCCCCCACCATGGGAGGATTTAGAATGACTGTTTCAACGTGTAGTGAGTGGATGGAAAGCAACACAAAAGAGATGTGGTTCTACCCGCCCAGGACAGAATGTATCACTCATTGGAATCAACACCATGACCTCGAGTGGCAGAAAGCAAGGGGGGACACATTTAAACTGCACGGAAAGTGTACCATAATAGTAGTGACCACAATGGTTCGGTTTTCCACTGAGGAGTCGTTGGAGACCTGCGGATCCAGAATATTTACAAACCGCGAGTACTCGTTCCAGTACCCGATCTGTGAAGAGAAAACAGTGGGTCGGTGAGGCATTCCAACAGGCTGACGAGATAAAAAGCGAGCATGCAGGCGGTACAAATACTATAGGAAACTGCAGTGATGCAGACTCATTAAAATAACACGTTTCCCTGAGGCATGCTGCCTCTATCCTAAAGTTCAGCTAAAATAACAGTGAATGAGCAGACTGCTAATGTGGCCTGGACAAACAGGAGTTATTCAAGCATTGAGCAGAGACGTTGTTTAAGAATGTTCTTTTATGTTTTTCTGCAGGAATAGTTATAAACATACTGCAGACTACCCAAGTCCCTCCTACATTCAGATTGATATTGAGGAATGTGAACTGCTCTCACGTTTCATAACTACAGCAAATGCAAAAAGCACATTTTTGTGAAAATGTAAAGTGAACGCTGAAGTCTGAATTATTACTTTTTTATTTGCTGATGAAATTAAAAGTGAAATGTAAGGGCTTACGAAACAAACGCTAAAAAAAACAGACCACTACCTAAAAGCCAGAAATAGCAACCTAAAAAAAGTTATGTCTGGTCCTCTGGATATTCAAAAAACAAAACAAACCAAAAAAAGTAAAAACGTTTCGCCTTTCATCCGAAAGACTTCTTCAGTCTGAGGTGCTGTATTCAGCTCAGTCTTATAGCAACTTCTCGTAGTGGACCAACCAGTTTGCTGCTGAAATAGCAACTTTTTGACTAAAAGATAAAAGTGGCAAATACTAGCTAAGATTAACAAAACAATAGCAAATTGTAGCTAGAGACTAAAAGTAGCTAAATGCTATCTAAAACCAGCCAAAAAAACAAAACAAAAAAAAAACTAAAAGAAATAAAACTATCTAAATGTTAGCTAATAGGTAAAGTAACATAAAGTTAGCTAAAAGTAGAAAAACACTAGCTAAACTAGCAAAAGGCTAGTTCAATGCTAAATAAAGAAAAGGTTAACTAAAAGCTAAAGCAGTAAAACGCTAGCTGGAAGCTAAAAAAATAGAAACAAGCTACCAAAAAGTCAGAAATCTAAAGGTAGCAAAATGCTAGCAAAAAGTAGAAAGTATCAAGAAGTAGCTAAAAGCTACAAGTAGCAAATGCTATATCAAAGCTAAACAAAGAAAAGGCTGGCTAAAAGCTAAAACTAGCAAAACAGTGGCTAAAAGTAGAAAGGAATAGATCAAGTATGATTTCAAAGACAACGTTTTGTGGGAATTGGAACTGTCTTAATGTCTTTATCATAAGAAGATATTGTGAGTAGTTAGATTTATGATAAAATTTAAGTTACAAAACAAGTTTTAGTACCTATCTTTAATTTAGCTGAATATTTTCATATACAACAGCTAAAGTGGCACAAAGTATTCAAAATAGGTTGGATTGCAGAAGATGTATATTAATGTATAAAAACAGTAAACAACAATGAAAAATGAAGGATAATATTGTTTTTTCCAGCACCATCGTGCCTCTTGCTGTTTGTACTCTGCTGTGCAGATGCTTAAGTCAATTCACTGTCAAGTGTTTGTTTGCACATCTGAAGTAATGGCTGCTCTGGCTCATGATGAAATGTGTTGCATCTGTAGTTGCTGGCTCACAGTTTCCCTTTCACATCTGTGCTGCCTCTTTTTTTTTTTTTGCCTCTGATCTTTCACTGATTGGGACAAACAGGTGTACAAGCCTGCCATAGCTTTACGCTCCAAGAGGAGGTGCTAGAAAACAGCAAACTTCTCAGACTTGGGCTTCAAACTGTGACTACAGCTGTGGGTGTAGTTAATATGTGGAAACTTCCTTTATTATTGCAGGACAGGATGGGGGTAATGTTTTTGCCTTTGTCTGCACCAGAGCGTGCGTTTCTGTGTCCATGTGTCTGTCTTTTAGCAAAATATCTCATGAACCACTGGGCACATTTTAATCAAACTTTAAGAAAGTAATTATTTATAAACACACAACTGAAAAACTTTTGACGTTAGCTTAATTCAAGATGGTTGCCACAGCTGACTGATATTAGCCAACACAACAATGGCTACAACTGAGACATTAAAAGTTAAAGTTGGATTAGCTGAAAATCTATCACAACACAAACTCCAAGCTCTGATTTATCTGATATCTTGCATCATGTTATTTTCAAGGTTTTCATCTCTGTCATTTGTCAACATTAAACAATCTTTGTCTAAAAGTCAGACATGAAAGACGGTGGGTGACATACAGTCCTTCAAGGAACGCCAGATTTTTACTTTATTCATATTTCTCCAAGCCCTTGTCAGACAGTGACGGTTTAAAGGTGCTGCTTGTAGGACAGAACTGGTGGAGCCCATGTCATGGAGAGCTGCTCCACAGATAACAACCCCCTCACGCCCCCCCAAGCCCCGAGCAGCTGGGACAAATATCAGCTCGTACATCACTGGTGGCAGCCACAGCTAAGAACCCTCATCCTCTAACTGTCACTGGGGTGACCAGGGCTGCAGGTCCTGACAAAGCGCTGCCCGTCTTGTTTGATCTTCCCTCACTCTTTCTTCCTGACCTCCTTTCTGCCTCCCACCCTCACCATCCATCTCCCTGCCCTCTCCCCCTCTGTTCGCGGGCGGCTGTGAGGGTGTGCACCACGCTAATTGAAGTGTGGGCTTCAGATGGCCACGAGGCTGGCAGCATGATCACACATCATATCAGACTGAGCCCACACTTATCCAGCGGTGGGGAAATTCACATCAGTCTTCAGATAGGAAGGTTTGGAAATAAAACCAGAGGTCATCGTACGGTTCTGGTTTTAACCTGGATGTTCCTTTAGCAATTATTGTTTTACAGAGGAGCCAGAGGAATTATTGGACACCATTTATAGTAATTGGTTATTGGTATGGCAATTACTGACTGGAGAGAAGCAACATCATATCTGCTTTATCCCTCAGCAACCCCCTATCCCAGTACCAGTTTTAATAGTATGGTTTTAGCTGTCAGATTGCAGGCTCTGTGTGATTTATGGGCCTTTTAATGCCTGACTTTAACTCATCAGAGGTAGAGGAAGCCAATCAGCATGACAATGTGCTTTCTTCTTTTGGAAACAGAATACTGGATTAAAAAAAACATGAATTTAGCAGCTGGATTTGGATAGCTTTTCCTAAGATCCCGATCCAGGTTTCAAACTGAGCAAAGGTTCAGAATCCAATATTGTCAATAAGAGGCAGGTTTCATGTGCGACCAAAACATGATGAGCTTTACCGGGTTTGCCTTAAGGCCTTAGATGCTGAACAGTCTTTCATATGTCACTATTTCTAAAAACAAACAAAAAAATAATAAAAGGAAAATATAAATGATAAACACATATTTACAGTGTATTAAAAATGACTTGTAATTAAAGGTTCGGAGCAGTTTTTACAACTTACTTTTAAACTTCAGTTTTTTCTCACAGGTAACGACTTCTTAACTAAGGGTAAAGGGAATCATTTTACCTTAATGGTGTCCTTATAATCGACTAGTTAATAGTTAAACTGCATCTTATCAACATATGTAAATACAAAGTTTGCTTTGACATTTAAAATTGTTCAGTTTAAGAAGATAAATTGGGCAACTAGTAAAAAACTCACTCATCATTTACCTAAATAAATGTAAGTACGACATTTGAGTTTGTCAAAAAGTGAGCCTGCTTTAACGTATGAACAGCTTTTATTGCCTACCATCAAGAAAGGGCGATAATGTGTTTGCCTGTGTCTGTGTGCAGGCGTGTTTGTTTGACTTAATTTAATTTAAATGAAACTTGTATTGCATGTATCACTGAATAACCTTTGGCGTTAACAGGGTTCAAGATGGCCCCCTCAGCCAAATGACTACTAGAAACTCAAAACTAGCTCTAAATGACCATTTTACAGACATTGTGCTAAAAATTGGTGCTGTAGTAATTGAGAGGCAATCATCTGACACACGGTTTGAGCTTCAAATTGTATAACATCTTTGTCATTAACTGTTAAAGTCGACACTCAGCACTTTCTCTGTTAAATATCCAAAATATCTCATGAACTACTGAATGGTATGTATTAGAACTTGAAGAAAGTAATCTTAACCTATTTATAAAACATTAATACTTCCTTCATCAGATTAAGGATTGCATAAAAATATTTCCTGCTTTTATCTTGCACTTGTTCTGCTGTACAAATAAATGAAACTTTCAAACTTACATGCAAGCTGAATGACAGCCAATGAAAAGTTGTACCTTCCTTGGACCACCTGTTTTCATCTCATAAACATCTATGGTGTAATTGGTCCTGCGGCCATAGTTGTCAAACTGGACGTTCCCAGTCATCCCCTGCACATGGACCTGATGGACAGACAAACGTACGGACACGGGGGTAACTTGTAAGAGCCACCTCTTTGCAGATATAGCTGGTATTAAAGGTTGCCTGTGTCCATTATGTAACTGCAGCACACTCAGTCTGTTAATCAAATGATGAACTGGATACACTTTAATAACGGAGATAGTTTTATGGTAATGAGGCCGTGGATTTGAGTGAGCTCTGTGCAAAGATATCTGGAGGCACTGAGTGGAGAATAGCTCCACACTCTTTACACCCCCACCCTCAAACCAACACTCTTTCTCTCTGTCACTTTCCATCTTTATCAAGCTCCCTTACTAACTCTGCCGCACCTCTCCCGGCCTTTTTACCCCCTTCAGAGTGCCGCTCCCTCCAATGTTCCCCCTTACCGTTTTCAAAGCTCTTTCGATGTCTATTCCCTGGCTCCAAGGTACGGCGGGATTGGCGAGACAGTCACCGGCGCTGCCTCGACGGGAGACGTCTACGCGCTGGCGCCTTAGGTACCGGAATGCCTCTGCTATCACCAGGACGGCATCGTGGGTCAGAGCAGAGGTGTACTGTGTACAAACAAGAGCAAGACAAAGCATATGGTGTGAAGAGAAAGCACTGAGAAAGGCAGATATGAAAAAAATAAAACTTTATTTTTTCTAGTATGTTGTCATATATAACCTTTGTATCTTTGTATTGAGGTCTATGTATTTCAGTGCCCATGACATGTTGCATACAATAACTTTAGTTTTCACCTGTTGCTGAATAGTGAATGGTGGCTCATAATATATTTCTCTCTGTGTGTTTGTTTGCAAAATATTTAATTAACCACAAATGGGATTTTAATGAAATTCACACAAAAAAAATATAGACATCTACAAGTAATTTAATGAAGGACTCAACTTCATTGAAAATGGCTACCAGAGCCAGCTGGTCTTAGAAAGCACAGACATGGCTCTAACATGGATCTAACTGAGGGTGTGGCTCCATACCCATCTACTCACTACAGACTCATGTTCAGGCTGCTGTTTAATACACCATATTGTTTTCCATTATTAGTGTTTAGCGTATATCTTAGATCTTTTAGCATATCACTTAACGTTCGTTTAGCGTTTATCTTAGATTCTTGGATATTGTTTCTTTTATACTTAATATATTTGCTATTTTTGGGTGTAACTGGGACCTTGTGTACACAATTTCATTCCACCTCATGTACCACATGTGATGTGAATGACAATAAAGAACCATGAGCCTTGAACCTAACTCAGTCAGTTTTATGGATATTGAGCTAAAATTTGTTGTGGTAGTAGCTGAAGGTCATCCCCATCACAAACTTCAAGTGTTACAGTTCACAATGTCTTTATTTTAGACTTTGACAATAACTGTTTGAGTCAATTCTATGTGTCTATAAAAAAAGATATATTTTCAAGCAGTGGGAGATCATACCCCACTGTCCATCCACAGGGAGGAGATAAATCTGGTCACTTCTTATAGGCATCTGGGTATTCAGCTTGATAACTTCTTAAGCTAGAATGTTTCAGCACAAAAAAAGGAACTGTCCATATGACCTGACTGAATATTGTTGGATTGTATACCTGGATTATTGAGCATGGACTTTGTTGGTTTTGAACCATTTTGACATGACTGTCGACGAGGAAGATGGCCAGCACTGGAGGAGGGGGAGTGCCAAAGAGACCATCTTAGCAGCAACAAAACTGGTTTGTTCCACTTTGGAGTAAGCTGTTGGGGGAAGAATCCGTTTTGTGTTGTGTGTTTCCTTGACTGATGAAGCCTTCTGGATGGAAGGTGAAACGTTTCAGCACAAAAAAGGAACTGTCCAGATGACCTGACTAAAAATCGTTGGATTGTATACCTGGATTATTGAGCATGGACTTTGTTGGTCTTAAGCTAGAGTTACCATGTTGACCATGTATGCGCCAGATAACAGCAAAGGCTGCTGTTTCTTCATAGACTGAAGATGTTTGATGTCAGTCAAAACATCATGTTCTTATTTTACCAGGCAGTGATGGAGAGTGTTATCAGGTATGGAATGACGGCATGGTTCGGCAAGCTCTTCTTTAAGTCTAAATCCAAGTTGCAGCGCCTGGTACAGACTGCTATGAAGGTGTTGGGATGGACCAAAAAGCTCTCTCTATAGTCCATCTATGAACAGTCTGTACTTAGGCAGGCACGGAGGGTATTGTCGAATCCGTCCCACATACCGTATGTGGAATATGAGCTCTTGCATTCCGGTAAAAGGTGCAGAATCCCCCAAACTAAATTGAACCATTTTAAATATTCTTTTGTGCCCACCTCCATCAAAAATTGGAATCAAAATTTTAAATAGATAATATGTTGAGACCTGGAAGGTGTGCAAGAACTTTGGCGTTCTTTATTGTTCTTTTTTAAAACTGTTGTGTATGTCTTCGTTTTTAGCTGTTTATATGAATTGTATGTGTATTTACTCTGTTTGGGCAGCTGGTACTATGTTATATACACCCCCTGAGTCCATGACAAATTTCCGCTAGGGGACAATAAATTCTATTCTATTCTATTCTATTCTATTCTATTCTATTCTATTCTATTCTATTCTATTCTATTCTATTCTGACTCCCAAGCTGGATTTATTGAGACTCAAAAATGAATCGGTGTATATACATCTACAACTGATTAACTTTTGGAGGTTATCCAACTCAAGATGGCCACCATAGCTAATCAACTTCAGCCAATATAATAATAACTAACTCATGAGGTTTACAAATACTGAGCTAAGATTGTCATAGTGGTAAATTTGTAATGTGGTAGTAGCTGAGAGTCATTAACTACACACACATTCCAAGTGCTTACAGTGTGAGGTCTAATAATCTTGCTTGAGATCGTGCATTTTTGGTGATCTTCGTTTCTAACTCTGGTATAAAAGGTGGTGGGTGATATACAAGGATGTTTTAATTTGAACACAAACTTGTCAAAGGGTAAAGATCTTTTTCCAAACTTTACTGCAGATTCAGGGAGTAAATATAGCATTAAAGTGTGATTTTATCTCTTTCGTACTTCTCCTCAAACTTCTTTGACCTTTCCACTAGTTGAGGTTGAGCCACTTATTTGTTGACCACCGCACCGTGGCGAAATCTAATTAAATGGCATTCAAAATCCATTTCTTCCTTGATCATTGTTTAATTAGATGTAAATGGAAGCTGTAATATAACCTTGGCCCGCAACGCCTATCAATATATCGATTGCTCAGAGAGATGCAAAGCAAAGACGGCGGAGGAAAGCGAGGGGAGTGGGAAGACGAACAAGAATGATAAAGGCAAACGAGAGGGGGGGGGGGGGGGATGAAAGTGGAGCAGCTGATAGGCAGAACTTCAGACAGAATGATTGCGGCGTTCTGCATGTGTAAGGGCCTCGCGAAGCCCGTTACCTTCAGAGGAGCGTTTCGGGCTTCTGGGAATTCTCTTTCATCTAGCCGCTCCCACCGCTGTATGAACTGCTGCACGATGGGGTTGTCGGGGTTGACGATCTGAAACCCCGAAATGTTGGCTCCACCGGCGAAGACTTTGTCCAGGCTTACGTTGGAAAATCCCTGAAATGAGACAAACGGATAACAAGAGAGGGATAAAACTTGTAAATTCTTGTTCCTTTAAAGCTGTTTTTGATATAACCTGAGGCAATGCACTGACAATCTTTGCAGCTATGTGGGCAACATAAACGATATGTTTTATTTTGAATCAAAAGCGGTGCAAGAAAACATTTTATATTCGCAATTGTGCTTGTAGAATTATGTTTTTCTCGGCATTTGGCGATATAACCTGAATTCGACTGTAGATAAACAACCAGCCCGTGTTTGAGTTACATCATAAAGCAACAAAATACTTGAACTTGCTGACCTACTTTCTTTTCACAGCTCAACCATGTTCTAAAAAAATAGCTTCAAATGTATTTCAAAAACTTACACCACTCTAGCAGCCATTAAAATTCCTGCTTCACCCCGGAGGCTTGACAGTTATTTACTTTTTATGCTGTTTTTTTTTTTTTTTTTAAGTGCAGCATTGTGTCATAGTGTGCGAGGACATGTGTCTGGTTGATGCATAATCACATCTTCTAAAGCCAGAGAAGCAGCAGCAGGAGGTCAGCAGGCGAGGAGGGAGCAGCAGGGCCGGCCTTCGATTTAAAAACTCTCACGCTTGCATCAAGGCTAAATGAGCACTGCCTTCCACGGAACGTGGGAAAACATGTCTGCCCTTTGAAGATAGTTTAAAAAGTTAAGTCATTTTTAAAATAATTTTTTTTTGGAACTAAATTATGCAGTGTAAAAAAAAATTGAATGAACAACAAACATAACATGGCTTATATTCTACCAAAGCTGACCAGGGGCTTCAGGAAGGATTTATTTTTTATTCTATATTCAATTTTTGTCATTTTGATATGCTGCAGCCCAGTGCTATAACTGTTAAAATGTTGTTTTCTAATAATCTACACCCAGTACCCCTGAATAACACGGTGAAAACTGAATTTATAATTTTGTATGTTTCTAAAAATTATGATATGACATTTTCATAAGTATTTAAACTCTGCTTTTGAAAACTACCAAGCTTCATTTGATATTAAATATCTTTTTTTCCATTTTTACTAACAGAACAATTCGTTGTCAGACTGCAGGTTTACTTGTGGTTCCTAAAGTTTTTAAAAGGAGCATGAGACACTCTCTTGAGGAACCAAATTCCAGGTTCTGTCTGACATAGACACGATGTACACTACTCCTGTACATGGAGGATGTAGAAAAGAGAGCCTTGACGTCCTTTTCAGGGACACCACCAAGTCATTGGTTCAGGTATGTTGACGACACCTGGGTTAAAATTAAATCTCAGGAAGTCCAACATTTGACTGACCACATCAACTCTGTGGATAAATACATCAAGTTCACACGAGAAGATGTAAAAAATGGCAAGTTGGCTTTCTTGGACTGTGAGGTCTCAGTCTCTGATAGAGGACATTTGCAAACCGAGGTGTACCGCAAACCCACCCACACAGACCAGTATTTGCAGTTTGACTCCCATCACCCTTTGGAGCACAAGTTAGGAGTCATCAGGACTCTGTATCACAGAGCAGACAGCATCCCCACTAGCTCAGGAGCCAGGCAGAAGGAGAAATCCTACACAAAACAGGCTCTAGAGCAATGTGGATATCCTAACTGGGCCTTCCTGAAAGCAGAGAAGAAACCCAAACAGGACTCCAGTCAGCCATCAGGTGAAAAGGAGGAACCCAGACCCAGACCAGTGGTCATTCCATATGTTGAGGGAGTATCAGAGAAACTGAAACGTTTATTTTCTAAACATAACGTCCCAGTGACTTTTAAACCCCAAAATACATTACGGCAAAGACTGGTTCATCCCAAAGATCCAGTCCCCCGGCACAAACAGAGTAATGTTGTGTATGCTGTTCAGTGTCAGGAGGGCTGTGATCAGTCTTACATCGGGGAAACTAAACAGCCACTGGCCAAAAGGATGGCCCAGCACAGAAGATCAACATCATCAGGCCAGGATTCTGCGGTCTACACTCATCTCCAGGCCAGCGGTCACTCTTTCAAGGATGAAGATGTTCACATCCTGGACAGAGAGGAACGATGGTTTGAGAGAGGAGTAAAGGAGGCCATCTTTGTGAAAAGAAATCGTCCATCATTAAACAGGGGTGGAGGCCTCCGGGTTCAACTGTCCCCCTCTTACAATGCTGTGATTGCTAGTATCACTCAGCCCTCTGTGAGTAGTAAACAGCCATCAGTGTGCTAATGACCCATTGTTAGGCTGATGGTCCTTCTTGAGCATGTGATCAGCTGGTTTTAGTTGTCAGCAGCAAACTGGTTGATCCACTCTAAGAAGGTGCTATTTAAGAGACTGAGCTGAAAAACAGCACCTCAGACTGAGGAAGTCTCTTGGATGAGAGACGAAACGTTTCTAGATTTTTTTTGCTTTGTTTTGCTTTTGTTTTTTTTTGAATGTCCAGAGGACCAGATTGAACTTTTTTGGAAAGTGTTAAATTATTATTTTTATGTATGAATGTTTCTGTCCAGTGCCCTGAGACAACTTCTGTTGTGACTTGGCGCTAGATAAATAAACTGAATTGAATTAAAACTGAATTCCCACACTCGGCTGCTGATTTTACTGTCTCTACATTCTAAGTTTGATTTGTAAATATTGCTATTAACCTGTTTTTAATAGTTTTTCTTACCATAAAACTGGACCAGTCCTGTGTTTTTTGTGTCTTTCCTGTCCTCTCAGATGAACTTGCTGAGGTAAATACCTCCTGATCCTGATCTTGATTCTGTTGGAGGTTTCTTCCTTTAAAGAGGAGTCTTTTATTTCCAGTCACCTCCATGCTGTTCAGTATGGGGGGTTGTGCCAAAGCAAAGATTCAACACAATCCGCTGGCTTCCTTGGATAGATAACTTTTTTTCTAACTGGCATTTTATAATGTACTGCATGTGAATGTATTGTATAATTATCAAGATTTCTTGACTGTAATTGAATTTGAATTGAGATTGAAGTGTTTGGCCTTATTAATAATCATTAGTGTCTGTTTGGAGGAAACTAGACAGTTCATCACCTGACCAATCCCAACAGTGAAACATGGGAGCTGCAGCTTCATGCTGTCGTGGTGTTTTCAGCAGCAGGGACTTTATATCCTCGCATAAATGTGAAACTTCAACTTTTATCATTTGAATGCATTTACAAAATTGCATTTTTTTTTAACTCTGTTATCAGTGGATGAGTGCAGATTAATGAAAAAAAAAGATTTTAATTGATTGTAGCATCAAGCTGTAACATAATAGAAATGCAAAAAGTGAAAGGGGGAGTGGGTCTGAGAGTTTCCTGAAGCCATGGTATGTGCATGCACATTTATTTTTCCCATCCCACGAAGCAAAGAGCAGGGTCCACTCTCCTCTGGGCATCAGCACGTTTATTACTCACCAGATTGGCCAGAATGTAGTGGTAACCACGGCTGTTCTTCCCCAGGGTCACAACCTGCAGGAGACAAAACATCAATACAGTAAACCACCCATGACATGAGGACTGAGCAGACACGGTTCATGTCAGAGGAGGCGATAGTCTCTGCAAATGACTGCGAGCACAATAGATGTCACATAAGTTTAAATTGAGCAAAGTTGTTTTTTTTTTTTTTTTTGGAAAGGAGCAATGAGAGGAAATGTTCATTAACACAAAAATGATGTTATGAAAAAAACAAAAGCAACATTAATAAAGTTGAGACGAGTCCTCCATAAATGCTGGAGTGAAGACTGAAATTAGAAACGTGTTTTTTTTGTTTTTTTTTAGTCAGACAGGATGGAGATCTCTCTATGCTTTGAAAATATCACACCTTCGGAGCAGAACAGCATGCTTCAACCTACGCAGCTTGTCTGAAAATAGCAAGCGGTGTTTCGGTTTCATCACTTTGCTACAAACCATATGCTGCCTTTGTCCTTTTGATTTTATTCCTCGTTTTGGTCTGCTGATAAATCCAACAACAACAATTTAAATTGACCTGCGCCTTGCATGGCAGACGGGGTGTTTTAGGGCTTTGCGCAGTCTGCTGAGGACGGACTGTTGGTTGGCTGCCACGCAGAAACCTGTCAGCCATGTCTTTGGGTTTCATCCGCACTTTCCAAACACAGCAACACAAGTTTACAGCAAAATCAGCGTGTTTGCACATGTTTCTGGCTCTGGCTCTGTTGCTAAAACAAACCAGTTTATTGTCTGTCTGTTTGTGTGTGTGTGTGTGCACGTTAAGCCGGAGACATTACAACATTCCTGCTAAAAATTTAAAAAAGTGATGAGAAATACTACAATATCCTCACATCCAAAGGTGCAAAACACCATTTACAGATCCACTCCAGCTCTGCTCAAATAGCTGCATGTAGTAAAACAGCTCAAATTGTGTTGTACTTATGTAAAAAAATGTATCTACTATTTTCACCTAGACTCTCCAAAAGATAAAGTAAACCACTTTCCCTCTTTTCTGAACGCAAGATTGTTGTTAACAACGAGGAGAGGTGGTGTTTTTCACAAGCGAGGGAACGCAGTTATACAAAGCTTTGTTTTTTTTTTCAACCTGTATGGATGGGTCAGCCTTCTCTGACAGCTTTCTCATCATTAAGGCTTTAAAGCTCCAACGCTGCATGATGTCGAACAGCCGAGAACAAACCAACGAAGTGAGATGGAAACAAAGAGGAAATGAGCTGATTATCACACAGAAAAAGCAGGAGCTTTTAGAACAAATCAGCCTTGATTTTAAGGAGTGACGGAAAGCTTCATGATTTCTGTCAAGCTTTTAAAGATTTAGACAGAGGAGAGCTTTTATTTTTATTTTTTCCACGTCTGACTCACGTACTTGAAGCACTGCTGCACTTTCTTGGACAAAGCCCAGAGCTTCATGCCCCTTGGCTGTGAGCTAACCTTGACTCTGGCTGTAAGCCTCCTCACACCTGCTCTGGAGCACAGAAACACTTTACCACCTCCCTGCAGCCTGCAGCTCACAACCAGACTGGCAACGGCTACATGAAACAACCTTAGGATGCAGCACAGCAAGACACAGAGATGCACTGAACCTTCAGTCAAAAACATACAGATCTCTTTTATTTCATTAGATAGAAGGCAAAGTTTAATTCCAGCTCAAAAAAACCCCAAACATATTTCATTGTTTATTGCTGATGTTGTCTTGTCCATACAATGGCTTGTGATGACTATATTTGAAGAAAAAAAAAATATTTGTGTAAAATCTATTCACACTTTTAATTAATTTAATCATTAAGACAGTATTACCAGACAATAAATGCTACAAATAAACACATTAAAATGTACCCTATACCAGGGCTGTTCAACTAAACTGCTCAGGGGCCACAGTTACTGAAAACCAGCAGCTCAGGGGCCGGACAGCCATCAATTAAAGTAATTATGTAAATAAACCAAGTATTAAAATGATCTGTTACCTTTTAAATTAGTTTGTCTTGTAGCATTGAATCATAATCAGGATGCCTTTATTGTCGTTGCAGAGAAGTACAATGAAATTACATCTCAGTACAGCTCGTCCAAAAAAAACAAAAAGACAAACATGGGTAGACGGGGTGCCTGAGGCTGCAGCTATCATGGGAGGTGCTGCCCTTTTTGTTAGATAAGGAAAAGGGAGACACAAGGAAAGAGGAGGTAAAAAAAAACAAAATCATATCTCACACTGTCCCTAATGGGACAGAGTGTGAAGTTGCCAAAAAAAACCTCAGCACACACACAAAAAAATTAACATACAGATGATATAAGACATATGCATGTAGCGTGTGGGGGCTCCAGCACAGGCTGCCCAAGTGAGCATTGCAGCCACCTGGTGCCTTTTTTTGGGGGTGGGGCAGCAAAAAAGTGAGGCCTTCGAAGGCAGGGAGTTTGGGGAAGGGAACGGGTAGTGGGAGCAGAGCATCTTGTTCACGTAACATCTAGGAGAATTTGAGATAATCAGCCTTCCAACGTCGACAAGGGGAAGCTAGATTGAGATTATAGCAGTTTCATCTGCCTTACAGTCTCACTGTTACATCTCAATGGTGACTCCAAACAGCCAAATTTGTGGCCAGTACCACCAAGTTTTTCAAATTTGTCGATATGCCAGATGACCACCAACGCCAAAAAGCATAAATCCTGTTATCATAAATCCAATTATGAACACATCTTCAACATCCTTGACAGACAATATGGACAGACACACGATCTTCCACTGCCCTCAGGAATCCATCGTGTATCCGGCTGCAAGTGTCCTGTCAGGGCAGGAGGGCTCTCCTTTGCCCTGTCTTCTCATTGAGAAAATTTGATTAATTGCATTGAGAGACCAGCTGACCACATCCATAATTTACAATTCAGAAGATATGTTAAGAGAGGCTCTGAAAAGTTCACAGGACAAAGAGCAGAAGCAAGGGAAGGAGCGGGAGGAGAAAATTCATCCGCCTTCACCGAGAGCTAGAAGGAAAAATAAGGCAATAAACAGAACCCAAACCAAGAACCTATTTTATTTATTTTTATTTTTAATGAACTCATTGGTGGGCTTGACTGAAGTCATCCACGGGCCACAAGCGGCCCGGACGCTGCCAGTTGAATAGCCCTGCCCTATACTTTATACTGTTGTTGAAAAGTTTTATTTGCTACAGTTACCATCATGTCAGCTATTGGTCAGTAAAATGTTCATTTTATGTTATCTACAATAAATAGCGATAGTATAGATCCAATAAATGTTTCAAGTAACATGGATATGCTGAGTCTTGTTAAAATAAATTCCAATTTAAAAACAAATTTGCTCTAAAATTGAATGCTTCAGTTCATAAATGTGAAGCACAATAATGACAAAGTAAAAAGTAAAACGTGCCTAAATATAGGTACATATGTTAAACAGAGTGTCTCCATGTCTCTTTTCTGTGCTTCAGCTTTGCCTCAAAACTGCAGCTGAATGATTTGAGTTCATAGACAGCAAAAGCTAATCAATTAATCAAGAAAATGCCATCTAATTTATTAAGATACTGTTGAGTCCTGATGTCAAAACCAAAGTAAAAGCCCACAACATGAATGGTCAGTTTGAGTTACATTTTAAAATAATCATTATCAAAAGGTGGGCAATAATAATCTACACACAGTGGGTTTTTTTTTGTTTTTTTGTTATAATTTCACATCAACTCAAAAACAGTTTGAGAATGCTCCTGGCTTTTACTGACTGTTTTTGCTCTGCGTCTGATCATATCAACATGTCAGTCTGTATTACTGAAGCTGATTTATTTATTTTTTGTCCTATTAGCAACCGGCCTGCAGTGTTTCTAGGTCAAAACAGCATTGGCATCACTTAACGTTGTCTCCGGTGGTATTCAAAAACATCAAAATAAGACCTAAATTTTCATGTACTACCTACAATGAAACAAACAAACAAAAATAGGCCATAGCCCACTGTACAGTATACTGGAATACTAAAATGCCATAATACAGAGCAATCAAGTATCACATGAGATACGTACATGCCACTATATTTCTCACACCGAGAAGTGGTAAAGTCTCTATTTGCAGACTGAATTAATTGAATTTTGATTTGTTTTGTCTGTACAGCTGTCTTGATTTAGAGACCTATACCAGCCAATAAGAATTATTATTGTTTTTGTCCCCTTGTCCTGTCCGCCATTGTGACACTCAGAATTATTGTCTGAGTGTCAAAGTGATGCCCAACAGATTTACTTCCACAAGTGGAGCATTATGGCTGGCCTTAATGCTCCACTTGATATATAAATAAAACTTTATTAGAATTTGTTTTGGGTTTGTTTCAGATGTAATGGATACGGGATGAAAAACAAAGAAGAAAACAAAGCAGAAAAGTGAGAGAAGGGTTAAAAGATAAAGAAGGAGATAGGAATAGAGGAGAGGGAGACGGATAAAGAGAACACAAATCAACATCATTGAAGTCTGCCTCTAGACCTGCGAAAGAAAAAAAACAAGACATAACCGAGAAACCACAACAACAAACAACATATATAATGATACTTATAACATCATTAGAAAGTATTTTATACAGTACATGGTAATATAAGATATATTAAGTGGCCACCACAACCCAATTGAGTGTGTATCTGATAGACACCTGAATCTAAACACCTGTGTGAGCATGCTTGTCACTATAAGGTTTCTCCAAAAAAATAATAAAAAAGTTCAATAGTGGATGTGGGGACCCACAGACCCGGCCCCACAAGACACGATGGTAACACAGAGAAGACCGGAGCCACAGACACACAGCGGTCCCCAAGCCTGGCACTCCTGGACTCCCCCAACAGGGACAACCTTACCCCCCCAGAGAGAAGCAAAGGGAAACCCCGGGCGATCCCCAGCAACCACAATGCAGAAATCCCAGGAGGTTGCAGCGAGGAGTCCACAGGCCCCACCGGCAACCCGCCCTCCAGAGTAGATTTGGCCATGGACACCGAGCCCCGAGTCCCGAGGTCATACCACCCCCCAACAGA